TTCTGATAATATTTGTTTTAACATTCAAGGCAGCTGGAAGTGGAACCACTGGGCACTTGGCAACTCACGGAGTCAGATATTAAAACCCTGACAGAGTTAGTGTCAGCAATGGGGTTTAGGCATCTGTCTGCAGATGGAAAGTGATCTTCATGGGACTCTTTTGTGGCTGTGAAATTGAAAGGCATTATGATAATTGCCCAGGCTGAATAATAGGAATCCGTTTGGAAAATTAAAACCCGAGCCTATTAACAAGGCAGTAAAATGAACTGTTTCATCTGCAGGAATCATCCCTGTCTGCACTTTGCAGAGACTGATGGCTGTGATTAAATGCACAACATCAGTAGGTTAGCAAGAGCAACAGGGGAAAGAAAATAAAAATAAACCTGATTGATCCCACAGAGGGTTAACATGATCCTGTCATTATCTACCACGGAGCTCTGGATTCACTTTATAATCTAGATTTTAAAAGCTCAATTAAAAGTAAGGCAGTGGAGAGCAATAATCTACACCAAGTCAGCCACTTAGAGCATCTGGGTTTATTACTTTGGGAATAAGTGGTGCTGCTCTCTAAAAACAGCCTGGAGCAGTGTAGGAATAGTGTCCCTTACCTGCTTTTCCTGCTGCTTCCAGAGGGCAGTGATTGGGAAACAAAAGCAGTGCCTATCCTTATTACCTTTAGGGGCTGACATGAGTTATTAGGAGTTTAATTGATGCATAACTCAGAATTTGAGATGAACAAAAATGAAGCAACTCAAAGAAAGGAGCATAAATCTGAAATACTCTGGGATCTCAGCCTGTGTTACTCACATTATAGGGAGAAATCACACTGGAAAGGGAGGAGCACAGACTGCTTTTAATACCTGACTCCATGAGTTGTGAAGTGCCCAGTGGTTCCACTTCCAGCTGGTTTGAATTTGAAAATAAAAAATTACCAGCAAGACTTCAAGCCTGTGGGATTCACTTCTCTGTGATTCCTTTGCTCCCTCAAGCAAATTATTTACCCTTGATCCAGGCTACCCTCAGGCTCCGGTTTGCATCTGGAAATATTCCTGTAGAATAGCTGGATGCAAGGAAATCTTTGGGCGTTCTGCTTTTCAAATCCCATATATCTGATTTAACCTTTTTTAGCCCTGCATAGCTGAGGTCACTGTTGGATAATTCCTGGTTACAAACTGGACGCTGCCCACCTTGCACTGGTTTCACTCTAGAAGGGAATTCATGTTTGATACAGAGAAATAAATAAATCCCTGCTGCCACTGCCATTTGACAAGAACTGTAGTTTTATCCTGTTTTAAAGCTGCTCACTTCTAAAAGGGTTTGGTAGGAAGGATTTACTCAGCTTGAGGAAGATAAGGTGGTTAAAGATTTGTTTCACGCTGCTGCCATCACTCCATTTTATATATAAATAATCTACTCATATTTGCATGGAACAATTTTTTATTTGCATTGCCAGATACTTCCACTTAAAGTCTCCTTTTGTGTTTTATTTGTGTTACCTGTAATTATTCCAGTTGTAGATTTTAAAAGATGTTTCCATTTACACCGAAATGTCTTTGTTAATGTAGTGATGGTGTGAAAAGATCTCTTCTTTCTCTCTCAACTATTCAGCTCCCTTATTCCTGTGGTAATTGCCTCATTTTCCCAACACACTGTGATTGAAAAGATTCTTTCCAAAGAAAGAAGAGGGTTGAGGGTTGTGCTGTGTTTTGGAAATAATTTCATGAGGGGAACATTTCATGAGGGGAAAATAAGTAAACCACACACACACACAGAAAAAAATCTTGAAAACCTGTATTCTTTGTTTTCTCCTGTATAATGTTGGGGGAGGGGTGTTGTTTGTTTGTTTGTTTGGTTTTTTGTGGCTGAGGTTCATGGCATTTAAAACAAGATCTCTTTTCTTTTGAGGTCAGGAGGAAATGAAAAAAGGGTAAGTTTTATGATTAGAATTGCAGAAACATTCCCAATCAGCTAAACGTAGCGGAGGCCGAGTTGGGAAGTTAAAAATGATGTGTGGAGTCACCTGTTGTACCCTGGGGGAAGTGGGGGTGGGTTATTCAAAGCTGGGTCTCAGCAGAGAAGCTCCCTGAGCCCATCTCAGATCTCTGCCTCCCTCAGCCACGGGTTTTTTTCTGTGCTGGGAAGGGTTTTAATGCCATTTCCATCTCCCACCAGTGTCTTTCTTTCAATGCCATCATGGAGGAGCTTGGAATTTCCCTCAAGCACCAGAAGAAGCTGAAGAAGAGGTCGAGAACGAAGGGGAAATCCTCCTTCACGAGCATCCTCACGTGTCACCAGAGGAGGACACCGAGGAAGGAAACCATCGCCTGAGCACCGGGAAATAACGGGAACCAAACGAAAATAAAACAAATAAAACCAGAAACAAGGCAAAACAACAACAACAACAAACAGCAACAACAACAAAAAACAAAGCAAAACAAAAACATTGCTGCCTACAACTGGTGGGACTTCTGAAATGGAGACTTTTCACGTCGTTCTTCAGGAATTCCCTGTGGTTTCTTTGTTTTGTTTGTTTTGTTTTGTTTTTTTTAAACCCAGAGGTGCAGCAGTTGGAATGCTCTCTCCTGGACCGATGTACTACTAATCCTCTGGGAAGCGGCTCACTCTTTCTTTCAGGATGGATTTGTACGCTCACCTGGTTTGCATCTCTCCCCCCCCTCCCCTCCCCTCCCCTCCCCGTGCATCGCTGTGTCTGCTTTCTAAATAAATCAATAAACAAGAGACAGGGTTCTTTTTTCCAATAGTCTGGGAGTGGAACTTGTGTTTTTTTTCCCCCCCTCTGAACAAAAGATTGCGGTTCTACTGGGCACAAAGAACTACTGAGTTGTTTAGAAACCAGGTCCCAGAAAAGCTAAGTAAAAATTCATACCTTTGATTCGTAAAGCCATGACTACAAAAATGCATTAAACACAACAGTGAGGTTCTTTTATTTTCTCTGGTATTATAAGGACAGGATGATGTCATAGCCTCTTCAGGCTCATTTCTACCAGAAACTTACTTCTCCTTATCCCTTTTCTACTGCTTTTAAAATGCAATTATTAGGTAACACCATGATTCGAGGTGCTGTGTGTTGAAAAAGAAAAAATCAGAGTCACCCAAGGACTGGTCAGTGAGCAGGGAAGAGCTGCCACACTGATGTGATCCACTGCTTCATCCTCCAGCTCCTGATGCCAATAAAGCAATTCTTCACTCTTAGAAATGAGGGCTGAGAATACTCAATTTACAACAAACCTTGTTTATAAACAAACAGACCAGAAAGATAACAACATTTGACAGGAATAAAGCTCAGGAATCGAAACCTTTTCCTGCAGTTAGTGGGGGCACCAACACAATGTTTTAGCAGCAAAGGAGAATTTTAGTCTTTTTTCTTTTCTTTTTTCTTTTTTTTTTTTTTTTTTGGTGAAGAAAACTGAAGAAGTGATGCATTAGAGCAGGAGATCTTCCCCTTCCCTCCCCACAAAATTCATATTGCAGTGAGGTGAGACACATTTATACTTATTTCTATGTTGTCTCTGTGATAAATCCTGGTGTTCCAGGGGCTTTGATGCGCCAGCTGGAGATGCTGTGGAAGGAAAAGGGGTGGAATTCTGGCATGTTCACACTCCAAGGGAGAGGGCGAGTGTTAAGTTTTATTGTCCCTCTGACATTCCCCCCAGGGAACTTTGTGCTTACCATCCATTACCTTTCCCTTGTATCCCTGTATCCATGGACATTTCCTCTGCCAAAGGAGAAAGTGAAGTGAAAGCCTTCGAGTGAAAAATCTCCCCTCCACCTTCACCTCACACCACCACTCCCTCAGCCTCCCCTGTCAGTCTGCAGTGGATGGTCTTGCTTATATTATTATAGACTAGAACCCCCCTCCCTCCATTCAGCTTTTCCACAGGGATCCAAACTCTAAAACTCCTCCTATTACACCCATTTTCCCCGAGGCTCTCTGTGATTACTCCGTGTCCTTCTCAAAACACGATGCTCAAAACCAGATCTGCTTTTCCACCCGTGGTGAGCTGGGTGGGAAAACATCTTGTGCCTGTCTTGAAGGCCATCCAGGCAAGGAGAACTTCAGCCCGACTTTGGGGACATCACCCCGTGGAACTGCACATTTTTGGCTTGGGTTGTTGGGGCTTTATTGTGCTGAAGCTTTTCTGCAGAGTGCCAAGGTCAGTTTGTCCCCAGTCCTGCTGGATGCCTGCAAATACAGCAAACACACTCGCTAAAAACCATCCATAAAGGAGACTCAGAGGGGAGGGATGGACCTCTGTAGACCCCTCACTTGGAGAATAGGACATTTAACAGCACTTTTGTGTGTGCCCTCTTGCCTAGTGCCCTATTTGTACCTGAAGATGTCATGAAGGCTGGATCAAAGGCTAATTTATTAAAGACCCTTTCCCTCACACACAGGGCCCTTAAAGCTCTTGAGGAAAGAAATTCATCAGATTAACAAGACCAGATTTTGACAGATCCATATTAATTCTTGCTCATTTCCTACCACTTTAATTAAGAACCATCCAAGTCTTTGCAAGCCAACCTGGATTCCTCTTTCCCCATCTTTGAAGGCAGGAATTATTATTGCTGCTTTCCAGCATTTCTTCTGGACCTTGTCTATCCTTCAGGAGTTTCTTCCAGGAGTTTTTGAGTTCTCTGTGAAAGGAAAGAGAAGGGTCTCTTTAAAGTGACTTCAATGGGAAGCTCAAACATCAGCGCTTGCTTTCGGGAAGTTTAATCTGCTGCATGCACCGGGCTGGTAAGCAATGATTAAGAAAAGCAGCCCCTGGCTGTGAGATCTCATAGAGAATCTCATAATAGGTAGTTTCATTTATTTATGTCATCATCAGGTTGCAAACAGGCCATCCAGGCCACCAGCACCATTCTAATGCTGCGATTGAAAAGCAGGTTATTATTTTTTCAGTCTGTGTTAACTCCATTGCTCTGCCATCCACGGCCTCCAGCCAAGATGTTTTTAAATGACTGGGTTAAAAGTGATAAAAGATTTATGACCAAGCCCCTATTTTTTTTTTTTTCCCCATCAGTATTAGTTGAGGTTGCCAGCTTGGCTCAGACACTGCTCAGGCAGGTCTCAGCCCCACACACCCATACACAGACACTCCCCCGTGCCTGCTGGATTCCCAGCCAGGCCACTCTCCCTCTTTTCTTTATGTAAATGTGCTTAAAGCAAACCCAAATCCTTTCCTAAAGAACCTCCCCTCCTGCAAACCAAGCTGCATCCCTGGAAATCTTTTTCCTTCATTTCAGATGCTACTTAAAAATTCACTCCATGACTGAGAAAACCACTTTGTCCTGAGGAGGGAGGGACAAGCACAGGGAGTTGTACATATTGATGTAGCAGCAGATATGATTGCAGTGACCTTCTTGCTGTATCCCAACAAACACTGTTTTCCTGCCTGTTTTCCAGAGCCTGAGAGAGAAGCCTGGTTAGGGATTACCCACTAGGAAATCCAATGTCCTCATTGGATCTCTGCCTTGGCAGCAGCAGCTCTGCATCCTTGTTGGTTATAAAAGAGAAATACAATGTTGACAGATGCATCTGAACGTGTGTCACTCCAGAAATGCCCTTGGTTTAGTGCCAGTGATCTTTCCCCCACACTCTGTGGGCTTAGGAAGGTTTTAACAATCCTTATTTAATACCCCTTAACTTTCTTGAGAAAGTGGGGAGACAGGCTCAGTGGGGAAGAAGGGGTGTTGGAAATATCAAAGTGACTTTTAATGGTCCAGCCCAGAGCGTGATTCAGGAGACACTCCAGAACAAATGAGGACCAGCTCACTCCCTTTTGGGGCTTCTGTCAGGGGGCTGCATCTCACGGGTCTGCTCTGAACCTCTAACCCCACGGGGCGTTTACTGACTGCTGAGCTTGTCTCTTAATTACTCACTGTCAATCTGACTCCTCAGTGACCAGAACAGCCACAGTTTAGAGACCCATCACTTAACAGTTTTACTCGGCTGATTGATAAAGATGCACCTGGTTTTGCCTGCCGATGAATTGACCTGAGCCACGCTCAGCTCACCTCCCCAGATCCAAACCCACTGCTGTGCAGCTGCTGAGATGTGAAGCTCTCCCTCGCATTTCTGTTTTGGCTGAACAGCTCAAGCCCCTGCCAGGGAGGAGCTGTGTTGTTTAAAGAGCTCAGAAGCCCAAAGGCACGGGTAGAGCCTTGCAGGGTATTCAAAAGCAGTTGCTTTTTAAAGAATCTTTATTCTGTGGAAAATAGGAACTTTGGTATAAACAAAGGTTTGTAAGCTTTCAGTTTTGTTCCAGAGGAGGACACCAAGGTGATCAGAGGGATGGGGCAGCTCTGCTGGGAGGAAAGGCTGAGAGAGCTGAGATTGTTCAGCCTGGAGAAGAGAAGCTTTGGGGTGACCTCACTGTGGCATTCCAGGATCTGAAGAGGCTACAAGAAAGATGGAGAGGGAATATTTACAAGGGCCTGGAGGGACAGGAAAAAGGGGAATGGCTTTAAACGAGGTTTAGACTGGATATCAGGAAGGAATTCTTGGCTGTGAGGGTGGGGAGGCTCCAGCACAGGTTGCCCAGAGGAGCTGTGGCTGCCCCTGGATCCCTGGAAGTGTCAAAAGCCAGGTTGGGCGGGGCTTGGAGCAACCTGGGATAGTGGAAGATGACCCTGCCCATGGCAGGGCGTTGGAATCAATGATCTTTAAGGTCCCTCCCACCTCCAATCATTCCCTGAATCTATGGAAAGGACAAAGCCAAAGGGAGGGACCGTTGCTCCTTGCTGCAGCCAGCCCTGAATCCCCCTTCCTTCAAAGAAAACAGCATCTTTTGAGAAAGCAAAGCCTTAAATATCCAGAGAAAGAAAAACGGGTTGCCTAAGAAGCAAACAGCAAGAAATGCTGCCACCAGAGCTGCCTCAAACTTCAGTCACCCTTCTGCAGGTCAGCACCTTGGTGGTTTCCTAATTGCCAGTGCAGTAGTTTTTCACGGGCTACCGGCTCCAAATGAGGATGGAGGCTTTCCATCTGAAGGAATGATGTCTTTAGCAGTTAATCTCTCTAATCACGAGGTTTCCTAACTGCTAATCCAGCGTTTTGTTATGCAGCGGGGATTTACTCCCGGCTCCATTCAATCAGGTTGGATGTCAGATTAATGGCCCGCTCACAATTCAGGGGTTGGGTTTGGGTCCCCCCCCCACCCTCGCCGGGGCCAGAGGGACCAGGGAGAACATCTGCATCCTGCAAATCCTTCCAGGGGATTTCACACTCCGAGGTGTTGATCAGTTTATTTCTAGCGAGCATCGCGAATCTGCATCTCCGCCACAACAACAAAATTAAGAGGTTCTACCGCTTCTGAGGGGAGACAAAAAGCGCAGGGACCGAGTTCCACA